TTTATATACTGTAGGCCTATATCATGTACATCCAGCAAAAATCAATAAATCTGATTTTAATCTTCAAAATGTTATATCTTATTATCTTGCATGTCTATATTCTTTACAACAAACGAGTTACTTTCTCTATTAATAAGATAAACATTAGCAGTAATAATACAATAGGCCTATTAATAAACATAAAGCCTACAAGAATTACTACGTATTGCTAACATTATTTTTTAGATTATTGCAGAGGAAAACATTTAAAAAAACTAAAATTCACACTATATTTTTATTAATTTCATATCCAGAATTTTTGCAGGAAGCTTGATGCTTGATGAGTGACACAATTTTTGGCTATCTATGAATAATTGGTAAGTTCTGTTGCCCTTTCACGATTGAGCCCGGACATTTCTTCTTTGCCTACATCACTGGAATAGAAAAATATTGAGAAAAGATTACGAAACAGAGAAAGAATTATAACGGAGTATCATCAAAACATAATAAATAAAAAAAGAGACAGAGCCAGTACGTTGGAAATAGAGGGGGCCCACGGGGAGGGACTTTGCCAGATGAAGGGTTCCCACCACCTCAGCCCCACCATGGTTGGGGCTGAGGTAAGAAACTTTTCGATTATGGCACCTCTAGATGGCCGCCTAGATTGAGATCAAGAAAAGTAAAAATTACCGTAATGAGCATCAGGATCGCCCATTAGGCCAGAGTCCAGCGCATTTCCAATGAGGTCCAATTTAAATATACACTGTCTGTCTTGAACTGAAAGATAAAACATTTAATTATATAACTGAATAATTATATTTAAGTAAGTTACAAAAATTACAATTAAATATATGAATGACAAAATTGTTTTCCTGTCAATTAACAGACAGTTAAATTATATCAGTGCTATATTCTTATTTATACATAGACTCTTAAATTGGCTGGTAGTGTCGATTTAAGGATTTTGTAGTAAAATGTTCGTAAAATCAGGAAAAATGAGACAAATGTCGATAGGGGTCCAACAATTCTGATCGGGGTCTAAAACAAGGGAATGCATAGAGCCTTGTTCAGGGTCCCGGAATAAAATCCCTGGGTAAGGTTCATGGGGAGAAATCTTACGGTACAGGATCGCCCATGTGATTTTTGACCACAATTGGATTGGCAATCAAAATATATTTGTTTGGATCGGCAAATTATTGTCGTGGAGTCAGACGAGGAAGTTGATGTTAGTTTATAAGTTACGGTAACTGGGATTACATGAGCAAGGCTGGTTGCGTTTCAAGTAAAAAATAATGTTTAGTTTACAGCAACATGTGCTACTGGGGCCCAGACCCAGGATTTATCAATCTCAGCTTAGCAAAAGTCAAAAAAGTTAAGATGTCCCTGAGGCAAATAATATTTGCTTTAGGGACATCTTAACTTATTATCTTAAGCTGATTTATCAAACCATCTTAGCAAAATCTTGAGCTAGGTAATATTGATAAATTTGACTTAAGCAAAAAAAAAATTAACAGTTTTAACCGATTTTTAGTTTGATAAATCCGGCCCTATAATGCATACTAACAGATGCGGAGTATATAAGGACAGGCTGAGGTTATTTAATTTATTCCCTTTGGAGGTTAGCCGTGTTGTACTTTTTGCTAAATATTTCTCCTATAATTGCCCTACAAGTGTGGCTTATCCTTTTTTTTTAAAATCCCATAGACCCCTCTAATCAAGGACTGTTCGGACTACATTATTTTCAAAAAATCGGTTTTCATTAAGGCAGCTACATTGTAGAAAACTCTTTCTCCTAGCGCCATTTTCTGTTAAATGGTCTGCTGCCTTATCTTTTATTGAAAACTGGGAGCCCTCTTGCTAACACTGCTTTCAAATTCAGGTTTTTTGTATTTTAATAGTATTATTATTATTATTATTATTATTATTATTATTATTATTATTATTATTATATTAGTCCTACATAAAATGGTCAACTGCTCTGTATATTCGAAAAGGGGGAGTGAGCAACCGGCCATCGCCTAAATTGTGTTCATATTTAAGTTGTTTCCGGCCATCTAGAGCATGGACCATTGAGGTGACATAATCATAAATCCATATGTGAATCTTCCCTAGAGATCCCCTCTATTTCGAATTTATGGATCCATCACTACAGTACTAGCTTTATTTGATATCGACATCATGGAAGTACACATCCATGAAGACATTAATATCAATATTGATAAAGACGGTGTCATTTGGGCCTACCCCGATCACTTTCACTGTCCTTTAAAAATAATATAGAAAATATTTTGTCGGGCTATAACAAAATTTCGATTATTCAGGATTAAAAGTTGTGTACCAGATAATTATAGGCTCTTGCTAATAAATTGCTTATATTGTCAATAAAAAAACATACGAATCTACAATGTAAACATCGAACGGAAGTTAACAAGCCCCAAGCTGTAATTACTGTAAATACATTTTTTACATTTTTTAGTTTCAGCGAGTCCCTTGGAACGTATGTTGTTGAATAGAATGCAGCATGTCAGTGCATGCATGTCGACGAAATTGACAATGCCTTCAATGCGGCTGCCTAACAAACGTAGTCAAAATAATAACATGACAGAATTCCCATTTAACTAGTGAATAAACGATGCAAAATGTTAAACTGTACTTACATTTGTTATTAATTGTAGCCTCCTTCAACGTCCATTGAGTAATGTTTATATGTAAAACGCCACCTGGAGTGGTATAAAATACAATTAATTATTCTTCTTCTAATGCACCATTCTTTATGGCGATGAGGCTGATGAGAGTGATGATGATGATGATGATAATAATAATAATAATAATTATAACAATAACAATAATAATAAAATAATTGTAATAATAATAATAATAATAATAATTATAACAATAACAATAATAATAAAATAATTGTAATAATAATTATAACAATAACAATAATAACAATAATAATAAAATAATTGTAATAATAATAATAATAATAATGGTGGTGGTTATGATGATATTGATATTGATGATGATGATGATGGCGATGGCGGCGATGATGATGATGATGATAATGATGATGATGGCGGTGATGAATGTGTCGATAATTATTATTATATTGATGATTGTAGGATAACAATCGAAAAAAAAAAACCCGATTCCGATGGAATCAGTATAGGCTATTATTATTATTATTACAAAGGTATTAATGGTCAAGCCGGTCCTAATTACTTGCAATCTAAATATATCACCCTTTTAAAGTGAGGGACATTAATTTTTGTGAAGTATGCATGTGTTATTTCCCGGCAGAGGAGCCGTTTTTTTCAACCATGGTGTTGTGTCCGCTCCTTAAGTTTTATTTTCTATGGTACAATACAGAAGTTAATTAGATCTCTATTATTATTATTGCCGAAAATTGCAGATAAAAGATCATGGTGATGTGATATGATGCATTTAACTATAGACCTATAAGAGTGTCATTCCGGCCATCTTGATATATTATTCCTCAACCATGATGGGGCTGAGGTGGGTGTGGACTCACGGCTTTGAAGTAAGTAGAGTAAATTAAAATACATCAAAGACAGTGTTTTTAAGTTTTATTTTCTACGGTGCATCACGCATATTAATTAGATCTCTATGGTTGCGGAAAATCGATGATAAAAGATAATGAGAAATTTGTTGGCGCTTCATTTTTACTATAATTCGCCTTGAGCACCTTGGGTGGAGATTGAGCTTTATAAATCTTTATTATTATTATTATTATTATTATTATTATTATGATTATTGTTATTATTATTATTATTATTATTATTATTATTATTATTATTATTATTATAATGGTGATGTGATGATGACGAATTTTACTATATAAAAGTGTCATTTCCGGCCATCTAGAGGTACTATTTATTTCCAACAGTTTTCGCACCTCAGCCCCAACCATTGTGGGGCTGAGATGGGCGTGGACTCACATTTTATCTCCGAAAATAAATACATCATGGTCTCATCACACATACTAATGATCTCTATGGTTGTCGAAAATCGATGATAAAAGTTCGTGAGAAATTTGTTGGCGCTTCATTTTGACTATAATGATGATGTGATGATGAATTTTACTATAGAGTGTCATTTTCTGCCATCTAGACGGCATCAGCAACGGCAATTTTTAATAGGAATAGGAAGAGATATAATTTTAAAAATCATAATCTTCATCATCAACGACATAATCATGGTGTCATCATCATCACTGCCATACTGTATTCACCAGCAGCATAACCATGATTTTATTATTATCCTAATAATAATTATTATGCGAATGACAAAGTAAAAACTGGCGTCAAGTACGAAAGCTTGAATTGTCAGCAAATCTATGAGCGGCCATCATCAAGACGTATGCAATCATATTATTTTAAAAAAAAAATTACACAGCAAGTAAATCAATTATTTGCAAATGTCTTTATTAAATTAATTTCTAATATCATGTACTTCTTTACAGTTGAATGAATAAAACAGATGTGTATAAGAGACAGATATATGTGTGTGTTGGTGTGTGTGAGTGTGGCGGATCAAGGAAATGGAAATAGACAGGGCCCAGGGAGGGACTTTTACAGACGTAGGGTCTAGACCCCTTCAATCCCACCATGTCAGGGCTGGGGAAAGAACATTTATGATTACATCACTTCTAGATAGATGGCCGAAAATGGCACTCTCAAACCTAAATTCAATTATAATTTTCCTTATTTCTTCATTTAAAAAAATAATTTTCAACACTTTACAAGTGTCACAGGGCCGCCTCGCCCCCCCACCCCTTGAATCCGCCACTGTTATATATACATATATTTAAACCTAAACGCTAGCCAAGCAGTACAGTTTCTTTAGAAGGCACTGCCCATGATCAGGACTGCCACTGCTTATAGAATATATTTTATATCAGGCTTATATAGTTCATATACTATGAATATAGCATTACCCATGATGATGGTCAGTTAGTAATTAAGCATTATCCATGAGGATGGTCAGTCTTCTATGACTCAGGTTCATTGTTATCGATGCTACTGAACAGGAAAATGTTCATTCTTTATTTATTTCATCTGTTAGTTCCATTTGACTACCTAATATAATATGAATACGATTTCTGAAACACTATCTATTATGAGCTTGCATATAGTCTATTCCTAAAGAACCTTTAGAAACATGGAAGCATATAGTTATTATCTTATATAAAAACTACAAAAATATCATTGTCTTTGGATATACGTTTATCTTCTTTCTTCAAGTTGCATCTGCAAAGAAAAAAATTTTTTTTCCCTTAAATTTGTTACCAACAAATGTATTTAATGTTGTGCCCTATATACCCTTCATGCACTTGTATTTCTTAATATCTACCAAACTTTCTATTTGAATATTCTGAAAGGGTGGTATACATTATGTATAAGATATGATATTACATTATATTATTATTAAAGTTCAGAAATACCTACAGTATTAGTTATAACGATTAATTGAATACAATTGTAACATAATAGAGAATGGTGGTGAGTGACTTTTAATGGAGTTATGATGGTGACATAAAATTATTGTGAATAATGATAGTAGTATAAGCATAGTACACAGGTACTAAAATAGCATAATCATGTTTTGATTATGATATAATATTATTATTAATAATATATTATTACACATTTTAACTGCTTTAAAATTGTTATAGTATAGCTATTTTGATTTTAGTGTTTTAGTATTTTTAGATTTTAGATAATATAGATCTTGTATACAGTTTCGATTGGTTTTATATTAGGTTTACTTATAATTTTTTTTTAATTGAATTATTTCAATATTTCAAATGTTTTATCCTTATTTTTGGTATGATTTGGCTCTTAACTATACACTCACCATTAGTATTCAGAGTGGTGGTTTCGTACAAATCCTCTGTTTCTATACTCCTGTGGAAATATAGTCACAGCATTAGACACATGAAAGTAGACCTACAGTACTCTATTAAATGACGGTTTTAAGAAAATCGTATTGTCGTAGTTTAGATAAGAACAGATGTCAACAAATGGTTCCACAGTATTTGTACCTGTCGAAATTGACTTCGACAATAAGCCTTCATTAGACAAATAGCATATGAATATAAAAATATAGGCTGCCCATTGTGTCCCTAGTGTGCTATTCTGTCTGTTTTTGTGGGGAGACAGTGGCCATGGCTCTTAAAACATGTCGACAAAAGGTCCCACATATCCGACAGAAGGGCCCAAACCAAGAGACTGCCTAGAGCTTTACTTAAGGTCATGGAACAACATTCCTGGTTGGGTTATTAATATTAATAATAATAGTGTAATATTTATTTAAACATCACATTGACATTTTTAGTCCGACGACCTTGTCGGGCGATGCTTGTCCTAAGGAAGGGCAATTTACTCTCGGACCCATACTGGAAATCCAAAAATATTGAATACATTGCTTAATAATTATTATGATTTAAAATTTCTCGTGTATAGGGTATAGAAGATACGGTGTAAAGTATGGCTTTTAATAATGTGCACCAAGGTGGTTACCTGTATTACAGTATTTTGCTAATTAAATGGAAATGTTTAACATCAGTTCACCTATGTATTAATAGATAATTGAAAAATTTAAGAATATTTATTTAGATACATACCAACTCCTCTTCCTCGCTTCCCGTTGCTATGTATGGCCTTACAAAATCATTGTAGTAGGCAGTTGGTAGACCATCAGATATGCTACTCATTCCTTCATTCTGTAATGTAGCAGAAATACAATTTTGTTCACATAATATCGTTTCTGTATTCCCATCTTATTGTTATGTGTTTTGCATAGATTTCTTTATTAATCATCATCGTCGCCGTCATCATCTTCATCTTCGTCATTGTCTTCATGTCTTCGTCCTCGTCTTCTTTATCGTCATCTTCACTGTCATCGTCCTTGTCAACATCATCGTCATGGTCTTCATCATCATTCGTTTTCATTAACATCATTATTTCAATCATAAATATAACATCATTTATATCATAATAAATAACATTATTATTATCATAATTTATAGTATTATTTATTTGTTAATATTGTTAAAGATTAATTGTATTGTTAAAAATATACTGCCTGCAAAAAAATGGTAAAATTCTCAATCAAAATTTAGAATAGCTCAGGCCTGGTACCAATAGCCTAAAAGGTGGGCCCTGTTCTAAAAAGGAGCCCGTGATCATTTTCCTTCCTAGCTCATGGCAGGCAGTATATCTTTATAATAATTGTAGCCTACTATTAATATTATATAAAACATTCGAAGTAAGCTCACATCCATGTTCGGTGCATTCCTTATGACAGTAGCCATGTGGCGCATTCGACTTTCTTCACTATCACTCTCTGTTTCATCATAAAAGCTATCCACATCCTCGTACCGTCTGCTCAATGGATTATGAACAACCCTACTAGAATAAATTCCGGGTGGTGTTGGATACTTAGAGAATGGCTTAGCATTGATCCGCCTTCTATAAACAGCAGCACCCATGATGCTTAGCATTATGAGCAAAATGACGAGGAACGCTGCAACTGATCCAACCACAATCAGAACAATCAAAGAGTCATCTAAAGTATGCAAATATAAACAATATATTAATAGTTGTGATTTATACAATGAAATTATGTAAATATACAACAAATTCTATGAAAGAAAGGTTATGTGATATAATTGTAGATTCAATGTTTTTGAATGTAAAACATTCACTATGTTTACTGCTGAAAATAATGTATTTATAATATTATTATAAATTTATATACAAATTACATATAAATTAATGATTTAGTATTTTCATAATGTAATACTATATAATAGGAAATTGCAAAAACATACCAGGTTTTGGTTTTTCTGAAAGGATATAAATGAAAAACAAATTTTGGTAATATAAGCATAATTCAGTTTGTATATCCCATGCAGTTATTATCAAGATATTTGCAAAAATTGACTCCAATTCTTACCATTCACAACACCTTATAAATAGAGTACTATACTAAGAGTAGAAACAATTTAATGAATGAATAAATAAATGATATAATTTATTACAAAAGAAACGAATGCATGTGTACCAAAAAGGAAATGAGAACATTTATTACGGATTAAAGGGATTCTGTAAAGCAAATTCAAATGAGAAATTTGGCATGTATTGGTTTATCCAGTTAAATAATCATGAAACGGAGGTACTGTACATGCCATATACAACACCACTGTCATGATACGATATAAGCCTACCTGACAGAATTACTAGTCTTTTGTAAAATTTAGAAACGTAAACACATAATGTAAAGACACTCTATATAAAATTAAAACTTTCTATACTTTTATATTTAAAGGACTTTTCTTTGTATTCTTCAATGTCCTTACCTGTTACAATTTCTGTAACTGAAATAGTTGATGGATCAACAGTCAATGACACGCCGTCACTAGTAACTAAATCATTTGCTGCTGCCATTTTCAATTCTTCTTCAACATCTAGAGCAGATACACTTGTGTCTGCAACAAACTGGACTTCTGCATCAGCAATAATACTTCCTGGTGAAAATGCTAACACTTTACAGGTAACATAGTCACCGAAAGAACCATCAAGGACAACATCGATCTAAGAAAATAAACATAATGATGATAATGATAAAGATATTATAATAATAATAATAATAAACATTTTTAAAGCACCTATTAAAGCAAACAAAACTGGCTTGTCACCGGCGC